TGGAATCGGCAGCCTCAGGGGGTGAAACTGGCTATTCAGGTGTCCAACCGGAACCACTACTGCTACTGCTCCAAGCGGCTCTTGGGGCTGCACTGTTTGAAGCGGCGGCAGCTGCGGCAGCTGGGGTATGTGGTGGTTGAGCTTCCCTTCTGGGAATGGTTTCCTCTGCTCAAACGCACACGTTTGGAGAAACTGAGCTACCTCCATTACAAAGTGTTCAACCCAGCGCTGCTTAGCAGGGCTGGATAGTCTGGTGGCTCACAGATGCGTTTGTCTTTCTGATTACCGATTAAAACGGCCTCTGAGTATTGGTTAAGTTTTTGGCAGGTGCTCTGTGTGCTCAGGCTGCCTTGCTATGTTAGCCATTCTGCTCTGCTGACAGTTATATGTCCTGCGCTCTCCTTTTGTACGTATGCTCAGATGCTTCCATGACAAATAAAAACTCCTGTCCTGTTCATTTTTCTCCACGATTACTTTTTTCTCCGCAGTAAATGAAAGTGGATGGATTTGGTGACTCTGTGAGAGCCGAACAGTAATATTTGGGAGTGAATTGGGATGGTTTTTAGTCATGAAGCTGACCTGGGTGCCAGGAACACACATAGGTATTTCCTTACAGTTTCCATCACCGTTGAGCTGGGGCTGGTGAGCACGCAGTCTGAGTTTCTCCTTTAGGAGCTGTGCATGGGCAGGACAGATCGTGAAAGATGAGTGGTGAGATGGAAGCTGGGGCTGAGGGTTGGCGTGCTCTGACCCTGAGACATTAATTTTGTGCTCAGCTCACAGCAATGTCTGGCAGAGAGGATTCGCATCCTGTTGATAACGTGTGCCGCCGAATGGGGACGACAAATCCACCGCGAGGTGATTCCCCTGCCTGGGTGACGAGTGCTGTGCAAACTAGAGTGCAGACTTTAGCTGTGTGGAGCATCTGCTCTGGAGGCTGTTGGTTTCATCCTCTGTCACATGGCTCACCGTGTTATTTTCTTGCTCAGGATGTGGCCTGGTGTCTGATTTCTGCACGCCATTCTGAGGACAATTTCTGGCTTTTTCCTGAGCTTGCAGGTGGTGATTCTCTCTAAGAGGAAGGGCATTCCCTGAGCTGCGCCGGGCAGGCTGTGCCTCTGACCAGAGCTGCGGGGCTTATTTCACGTGGAGCAGCAGGTGAAACTCCCATTCCCACTTGCAACGGCAGCCAAGCTGTTCTGGCTATTTTGCAGTGTGGCATTTCAAAGTGTACTGAGGTGGAGGATGAGGAGGAGAGGTGACAGTAAGCAGGTTGCTGTCCCAAGACAGGTAGTGTGTATTAGCTCATTTTGGCTGCCTAGTTTAAAATGTCTAGACTGGTTTTTTTCCTCTCCCTCAAATACTCAGCGTTATGGAGCACCTTAGTTCAATGTCCACTAGGCACGTTCCTTAGTGCAGCAGCTCCCTAGTCATATGGAAGTCATAAGGAACGCACTTAGTGATTAGCTCCAGAAATCCTGGTTTTAAATGACTTGACCGAGACCACGGAGGATCTTGCTGGCGTAGAATCATAGAATCACAGAATTGCTGAGGTTGGAAGGGACCTTTAAGATCATCAAGTCCAACCATTAACCTGCCCTGACAAAACCACTTCTAAACCATGTCCCCAAGTACCACATCTACGCTTTTTTTAAATACCTCCAGGGATGGCGAATCCACCACCTCCCTGGGCAGCCTATTCCAATGTTTAATAACCCTTTCGGTGAAAAATTTTTTCCTAATATCTAATCTAAACCTCGTCTGACATAACTTGAACCCTTTTCCTCTCATCCTATCACTTGTCACCAGGGAGGTCAGCCCCCACCTCTCTACAACCTCCTTTCAGGTGGTTGTAGAGAGTGAAAAGAGAGGCAATGTAGAGGCATAGAAAAGTCCAGAGTACAGTCCTTCAGGTCTGCGTTTCACTGCCTCAATGAAGAGATCTTCATTCACCTTAGGGAAGCCATGCACTCAAGAGAAATGGACACTTGTGTAACATCCTGATGGCACTTCATAGTCTTTGAGTCCTTTGTGATCTTTGGGTAATTTGTTTTGACGAGTAATGACTTTAGTAGTGCAGTTTTGTGGGTGTTGTATTTTTCAAGTGTTCGGAAATTCAGAACCTCCTTCATGCTACAGCCATGTGAGTTGTCACTAGCACAGGAGACCTCTATGCAAGTTTAGGGTGTAATGACAGCAGTAGCCTGCTGCCCTGTCCCATTCTCTTTCTAGAAATTTTTTACAGTCTGCATTTCCCCAGCTCTTGCTTCAGCCCAGGCTCTTTGCTGGAGGGGTCCTGGGCTCACTGTCCCCATCTGATCCTTGCTGCTCCTCTGATCTGTTCCTCTTACCTGCTTTTGCCTCTCCCTGCTGATTCTTGTTCCCACCCTGCTTCTCTGACCCCAGCCAGACCCTTTACTTTCCTATCACAGCATCTCCAGCCAGTTCTCACTTTCCTTCTTTACATGGAAGTGTAGTCGCAATCTCATTCCAGTTTCTCATTTAATCGGTCCCTTCATACCTGCTGTCTGTCTTCTGAGTTGCGTTTTCAGGAAAAGAGTAAAAAAAAACCACAGCCATAGGTAAAAACAACTCGGTAGCCAACTTTTGCTGTGAAGCAAGAATGTAGCAGAGCTTTTCAGACAAAGGGAGAGCAGTGACTTGGATGTGCAGAATAATGCATTTTCTTACTGAGATGTCGAACCTTGAAAAATTAGCCTGAGCTGTCAGGGTCACAAACAGGTAGTAGAAAGTCCTGTAAAATATACCAGTATATATGTACATAGCTCCTCATGCCAGAGAACGAGGAGCAACCGAATTGAAAGACAGCCAGTTTAGTGAGAGAATAAATTGTTTGTAATTAACCAGAACTAATTGCCACAGATTATTAAAAGCACGGTAGAAGAGGATGAAGATTTAGGGCGCAACCTCCGTAACAGTCTTAGGCTTGGAAGAAGATGTAAGTCTGTCCTGAGGAGTGGCTTGTACCCAGCCATGATTTGCCTAGCACGAGGCAGCGCTATGACAGAGGAGGCTGCATGACCGCAAGGTCCACGGGAGAATTTGGCATCTGCCGTAGGCAGGATCTGAGTAGACAGCATCTCGTGAGAAGTGAGTTTGAGTTCTTAAAGTGATGCGTATGCAGAGGTGAAGGTGCCTCTCCCCACTTCCCGTCATTCAGAGGTCTCACCGAGATTTGCTGAATGCGATTGCACCAGTCTGGGCTGATGGGAATGGGGAGGTCTTCAGCCCAGGAAAGAGATGCGAGGAGAAATAAATCAGAGGGCGAATCTTGAGTCATTCTAAGAAAAGGAGCAAAGAGAGTTGATTTGCCATTTTTCGTAATACCAGCGCTGAGGGCCAAGCTAAGTTACCAGGCAACGGGTTCAAAATGAACCAAAAAAGAGTAGTTTTTGTCACACAGCCTGTAGTTAAACTGACAATCTTACTCCCACAAGATGTAGGTGCCAGAAGTCAGACCGGTTCAAAAGCCTGTGTGAACAGTTCCTTACTGGCAGCCCTGTACTCAAAGCCTCTCAGGCTCCGAAAGCCAAGAAAGTAGTATTGGAGGAGCATTGGTTTGTGCTTGCCCTGTTCCTGTGTTCCCTGTTGAGGAGCAGGAATTGCTCCTGATGGCTATCAGACCAAATATTGGACCAGAAGGAGTGCTTGTCTGGCCCGCTACAGCTCTTCTTAGATTCACACCTGCTTCGGTCAGGTATTGGCATTGTAACCTTCAAGCTCTGCTCTCTGCAGACTTGGCTTCTATCGCGTTGATTTTTATATGTGGGATTTGTACCTCGGATACCACGTTTCTCGTTTCAGGCTGTTGCATTGGATTGCACACAGACTGGACTGCACCCACCCACTTAGCAGGCAGGCGAAACAAGCTCATTAACGCTCTGCATTACAGCGGCAGGACCGACGTGCCCCCAGAAGGCCAATTTCATTTTGGCTGAACTAACAGCTTCAGCTGAAAATCATTAAATGGCTGCTTGTTCCTGAAGACAGCCGTGGGTTCCTGATTTGCAAGGTTGCCCAAGGCAATGACATATTGAAATTAAGGTTAATGTAAGGTTAAAACTCTTACCTCACAGATAATTTCATTCTTAAAAGGGATCTGATATAACCAATTTGAATCACATTTTTTTCAATGGAAAAGAAGGTGCGTTCACTTGAGTTTCTTTAATGAGCATTGTCAGACAAATCAGCTGGGTCAGTGTTCAGAACACATATAATCTCCCTTAGAGCTATTAAATGGCCTCTGCTCCCTTGGAGCTATTAAATACCGATTATTAATATTTGTGTTTAATCATAGCTTACGTCTGAGGCTCCCGAGGCCCTCAAGAAGCGTTTCTCTTTGTGGCAGCGATGTGTGAGCGCTGACTGGTGTTACCCTTGTCCTGAGAGGCCCCATCCGAGCTTGTCATGTTGGGTGTTGTCCAAGAGCGTAGGCAGGTCCTGCCTCAAACTGCTGAAGGCAGCCGTGTCTCCAGGCACGGCGACAGAACAGGCAGTTCAAGGCCACACGGTGGGAATGGATACCAGCTCTTTCTGCCTCACAGCAGTGAGGGTCTGCTGTGCCGAACGCCCCAGTCAGATCAGAGGGCATCCCGTGTCCTCCAGGTCCAACTGAGGCTGCTCAGAGCTCACACCGATTCCTTTGACAACCTCGTGTGATACTCTGATGCTTTACTGTATCTGCAAAACCTCCTGCATCTTTGATAAACTTTCAGATCTAATTGCGGGTCTATCCATAGGTAAGACTTTTTAGTTAAAATAGCCACTTTCTCTTTGATGTTTCTCCAGGGATTCAGTAATTAATATTAACGCAATTTTTTCTCTCAATTCCATCTCTCCACCGCAGTCATTTGGGTTTGTATTGGTCTCACCTCCTGGCCTCAGATCTGAGCTACATTTTAGGAACTACTGAGCTGGTAATTCATACAGGCTCTGAAACACGAGATCCTTTCACTGTTCACTGGTGTTCACTTTCTTCATTTTGCCTTTTTTTTTTTACAAGCTGAATCTGATGCTCAGAAAGTGAGCTGTCTCCAACTGCCAAGATGGTAATAAACGTCTGTCTCCCACAGTTCAAGCCCAGAATTCACTGCAACAAGGTAAAATAATGATGGGGGGGGCTTTAGGGAGCTGGAGGGATGGGGGGGTTAGGTGGAAGTGGTGTGCTGGACTGGTTGGGGCTGGGGAGGGCTTGTTTGCTGCTCATCTGTGAAAATCAGCAGTGCTTCTGGAAGACTCATTTTTGCCTTGGCCATGCCAGACTTCCTGAGAAGCAAAGGCAACTCACAGCAAACTCCTGTTATTTTGTGTGGTCTGGCTGGTCGAGAGAGGGATTTTAACATGGGAGATTGTGTACGTCCACTGGCAGCAGAAGCATTGAGGACAGGTGCAGGTAAAGTGTAGGCTTTTTAGTCTGCAAAGCTGAGAGCGTTTTTGTCAATTAAAATAATTTTCCAGTGAGGGATGTGATTTGAGTGGGTTTGCTCACAGCTTTCTCTTCCAAGCTCACCGGTCTCCTGTCATTCCCAGCAAGGAGGTTTTGTGAACTGACCTTGGGAAACTGGGCTCCTGGATCCGCTTCCCCTTTTGTGCTTTCGTCTTGAGAGAGTCACTGATGTGCGAGCACTAAGAGAACCCGTGTCTGGGTGTTCAGGATCTGCAGCTCACACGAAGATAAACTGGAGCTGAAGGCTCAGTACTTTGAAAAATCAGTATTGAGAGATTTCCCACAAGTTACTGTTCAAAATTTGGGTTGTCCTGTCTATGCTTTGGTCAATGTCTGCTAGATAGTGTTAGAACACTGTATAACCTTGTGACTGCTCTGATGTGGCACACACTAAGTGTTGGAGGGAAAAAGCCCTGATTTTGCAGGATCTCATGACAAGACAATGTTATATGCTTAGAGGTATGCATACTTTGACTTGAGATACCTTTTTCCCTGGAATATTACGGCTTTTCCTTTGTCCAGTGGATTAAGCAGCTCTTGACAAGGCTTGCTGGTTACTCTGCTCTGCAAGTAGTTACGTTTTCACTCAGCATCATCAGAATCTCTTAGAAACTAACTCCATTTTAATTCAAAGCCTTTTTTTAATCGTAAGTCTCCCCACCAACTCACACGCCAAAATCCAAGACAGCCTTGGATTTTTCAGTATTGTTCTGTAAAAATAGCAATACGGGTGGTGTGTTGCCCAGCCGTGCTACTGAGCTTTGGTGTGATGTGGTCAGGAGGGTGTGGAGTGAACATAGTAAGGAGGTGGAATAAACAGATATTCCTTGCTGTCGTCTATTCATTTAGCCAGTGCTGCAGACTTTTTAGGCCTCAGGGCTTCCAGGAAAGGGAATGCGTAGAACCACTCTGTCCAGGAGCAGACCACAGGGTGGGATGGCATGAACTAGGAGACAAGGGGTGGGACGCAGCCTGGTTAGATGGATCTTCCTCAGGGATGGGTAGGGTTGATCCGGGAGCAGGAGAAGGCAGTTGGCTAGCTGACCTCCGGAGGTTTCTCTGGGATCCTTTAACTGGGTGATTCGGACTATGTCTCCACATGGCAGGATGGGCTGACATAATGTTTCACCACTGCTGAAAGAGGGAAGACTCCTGTCTCCCACACACACATGCTCTGCTCCCAGCCACATTCTCCCACTTAATTTAGTTTGCTGACCCAGCCAAAACCACAAACCGTCCATAATTTTCCACTCCTTTAGGAAGTTAAATCAGCTCTGCAAATGGCTGGCCAGGTAACAGGGTGCGGGTAAGAGTGGATGGGACCGTGTGGCTGGAGGAGGGTGGGAGTGGGTCTGTTCTGCCCCAGCAGCAGCAGCAATCTCCTGTGTTGTCTCAGCTGCCTGTGAAACCACTGCCATGGTTCCTAGTTGATGTCATCTTGCAAATCTACATAAGTGCTTGTGAAATTCGTTTCCTTTTATTTTCTTGCTTCAATTTAAATCCATTTTTCTCTTGAAACACAGATTTCTGCTGATGGTTACGAAGTCGAGAATCTGATCTCCGAAGACCTCGCCAGGAGAAATCGTGGTTTCCGCAGTGAATACTTTATCAAACCTCCAGTCCATGTCACAATTTCTTTTCCCTTCAACATTGAGATCTGCAGGATTAATATCGACATCTCGTCTGGGGGATACCAAACTTTCTGCGGGCTTGAAGTTTATACCTCTACCTCATGTAATAAAACCTCTTGGCAGAGCCCTGAGGGTCAATTCTCAGGTCTGGCTGGTCAGCCTGTGTCCGACAAAGACACTTTCACACTGGTGGGCAAAGCTGTCTTAAAAAATCAAAGCAAAGTGACGTTCGGCCACAGAGGCTTCAAGCCGAGGCCCCCCTTCCATCAGATGGAAAATGTCTTCTCCTACCCTGGCTCTGCATCTCAAGACCTCTGGAACAAAGGGCCTGCCTCGCTGAGCAACGTGTCGCACTTAAAAATCTGCATCACCCACGTGGCCGGAGGCGGCCTGCCTTGCATTAAGAGGCTGGAGGTGTGGGGACAGCCTGCCAAATCATGCCCTCAGGAGGTGATTGAGGGTGTCTTTCAGGTGGCCTCCCAGTTCTTCGCCCAGGACGTCGGCAGCCTCAAGCCAGAGCTGTGGACGCCAATGGAGAGTGACTGCATGTCCTTCAGCGCCAATGACAGTGAGCAGCAGACCCTCCGCAAGCTGGTGGACGTCGTCCAAGACATCCCCGAAGAATTTCTGGACCCCATCACTTTGGAGATCATGACCTTCCCCATGCTCCTGCCCTCCGGGAAGGTGATCGACCAGACTACCCTGGAAAAATGCAACCGGAGTGAGGCATCTTGGGGCAGGGTACCCAGCGATCCTTTCACTGGGGTGGCCTTCAGCCAGCACTCGCAGCCCTTACCTCACCCTACCCTCAAGGCCAGGATAGACCACTTCCTCTTACAGCACAGCATCCCTGGCACCAACCTGCTCGGGAGGGCTCATGCCTCAGAAATGCTTGTACCTTCTTCCATAACAATGTCTTCTCTGAAAAGGAAAATGGACTGTATGGATCAGAGCTCTGTGCAGCCACCCTATTTTTCTTCTACAAACTTACTTGTCACGTCTACCTCAGAGAACAGTGCTAAAAAAATGAAAACTGACAATGACTCACATTTGATCCAAATGGACTGTTCGACAGGTATCGTGGCTCCCTAAGTCACTTGTGTTTCTTGAGTGTCTTGACAGCCTGGGGCCAAGTTTTCAAATCAGGAGGCTCCAGTACAGATTCCCATCCCACCTTTAGAAAGCTTTAAGGCCATTGTATTTTGCTGTTGAGAGATGTCATGGGAGTCAGGTCGTTGTCTCATTCACCTCTCCTCTCCCCAGCACAACCTGCCATCCTGGATGGTGTTTGCTCCCATTCTTTTTCACTTTTTCTCATCTCTAGGCTCGTCCTTCTCATTGTGTTACCCGTGCAGTCAGTTTCACAGCCCTCTTGTGTGCTCAGGTCACCCTGTTTCCCTTTTAGTTTGTATTTCTTTACTCCTCCTTGCTTTCAAGCCACTGTCCGTGTGGAGACAATGCTTTTCTCACAGTGTGCTGGTTTGAAGTTTCTTTATCATGGGTGACTTATTATCCCAGTCATCCAATATGTTCTTGCATCGGCATGAAAATATGCAACAGCAGGGAAAGAAATGCCTGGTGGTGCAGTGCTGATGGCACAGGGAGTCCTGACTGGCGTGGATCTTATCACAAGGAGTGAGGTGGTGAGGAAGGTGGGAATGGGATACTAATCCTGCTTCTGGATTTCCCTGGCCAGGCACTGCCAGCCTGGGCTCTTGGTGCAGTTGGTTCCCTGCACGCTCAGTGTCGTTGGACAGATCGTGTCCCTGGGACACGCTGGCTCCTTACCTTCTCACTGGGCTGCTCTTGCTGGGGCAGAGGCTGAGCTGGGGCAGCGTGTCACTGCACAGCCTCCGGTCTACGCTAATCTTCGTGCAGCAGCGCGAGGGCACGGAACAAAACAGGAGGAAGGGAACCGCAGGCAGTGCTGCCTCAGAGCGGGAAGGAGAAGACAGCACAGGCTGGGAGAGACTTGCACTGGGTTTGCGGTTAGTTAAAGCAGAAAATCAGGTAGACACATTAGACAAGGGATGTGACTTTTGTCTACAGGAGAAGGAAATGCCCACTGCTTTCTTTTTATCCTTGGTTTTCTCAGCGATCTGGTAGCAGCATCAGTGGGCATAAGCTCCAGGAGTCAGAAAAACAGTCCAGACCTGCAACCCTGAGATAAACTCCCTGAAAAGCTGAGTGCTTTCACCTGCCTTGGTCCCCAGCCGTGCCACAGCTTGTCACCAAGCAGCCAAGGCAGCATTGTGGCAGTGCTGACAAACCTTTGGATCCACCGAGTGCTGGGAGCAGGAGTGTAGGATACTCTTTGTAGGTCCAGCAGCTCCCACCCAGCAGCATTCAAGTGCCGGGGTGGGCTGGACTGGTGAGAAGGTGACAGTCCTTAGAAAGCAAAGGTGATCTGTGCTTTAAATACCAAGGAGATTCACTCCTCTCTCCCAGAAATCTGTTCCCTCTTGTGGTTTATTCTCTAATGACCAGTGCCTTCAGCTTCCAGGCTGTGGTGCAGAGCTTGGCTGGCGGGCAATTGCTCCTCTTGACTCCACACTAGATCTTTTGCCCACATCCACATCTATTTCGCCATGTTTGCTTTCTCCCTTCTTGGCAGAGGAATTCCTGAAGCATATTGGAGTTGCTGTCAGTGCAGCTTTTACGTGGATATAACTGTACTTCATACAGCAACGCTTGTATTTTCTATCGTTGAACTAAGTTACTGCTGTAGGTAATAGTCCTGCTGGAGGAGAAAGGTAAACGTAAGCTGGGAGAAGGGAGAGGGATATCTTTAGCAATCTCATATTTAGATGAACTTGAAGAGAGCAGCAGTGTCTGTGAGGCCTTCTGTTGCAAGCAGTCTGGTCTGAGTGGGACGGTATAAATACATGGTGCACAGGTGTCTTCTGGTCACGTAAGGTCACCTCTCTAGGCAGGTAAGTCGAGTTCTCCTGTGTTCTCTAAACTAGTGGTCTGTAACACGTCAAAATGTGGCCCAGAGCTTCTGATTGCTCTTCATGCCTGCTGGTACCTGTCTCTCCCACCAGCTTTCTCCCAGAATTGCCCAAAAATGTTTTGAGGAAAAAGCTTAGGTGGTCGTTTGATTTTAAACAAATTCTTTAAAGACTTGGTTGCAAATGATTGATGTTTGGCGGTACCAGAAAGAGTAGGAAACAGTCAGACTGCACATTTCTACTCCGATCTCTCAGTGTAGGGCTCATTCCAAGGTTTAGGAGGAATCACTAGTTATTTTTACTGCAGAGGCGTGTAACGGCTCCCGCTAGGGATGTGCCCCAGACCCACAGGAACAGGGACTGCCCTGTGGGGTCCTGGAGCTCCCGAGGGAGCCGTGCCTGTACATAAATAAAAGCAGCACAGTGCTGGGCCCCGGGAGCTCATGCTTCAGTATTTCATCAGCCTTGATTGCCGTAGCAAATGTGCGGCACTAATTCAAAGGTCTTCCTTTGGGAGATGGATTTAACAGAATTAGTGATGCAGACATCATTCTCTTAATGCATAGTCTTAATTAACGCCTTCGGTATTACACAGAACAAAACGCCGCAGGGAACAGTCCAGCCCTGTGCCTGTGGCTTCATCCTTTGACTTAGAGCTGGGACAGAGAGGAAAAAAAAGTGTGTCCAGATTTTGTTAGTGGCTTAAATGTTCCCAGTTAGCTGCACAAAGCAAACCTGAGAGCACTGGGCTGGGACCCTCAGTGGAGCAGGCTGAAGTTCCCCTCAGGGAGCTGCCTGAAGTTTCAGAGAGAAGTGGGTTTCTGGGTCATTTGGCATTTTGGCCTTTTTTGGAACTGCAGGTATAAGCTGGCACCTGAATGTTCGTTGGCAGTGGGGCATAGCGTGAATGTCTGACAGTAATCCATAGGGCTTTTCACCTTGAGGACCCAAAAGAGGTGAGGCGTTACATCCCCATCCTGGCACCTTGGTGGGGAAAAGAGACCTCTCGAGAAAACAAGTGGTAGAGCTCCTAAAATCCTGAGTGTTGTACCAAAGGTTCAGAGGCAAAGCAGCATTTCTGTTGTGCATTGACAGCTTGCTTTTTTCCGGCATCCACTTCTCGAGGTTGTGCTTTTCTTTGCAGATCTTGTCTCTCACGAACAAAAACTGTCGGAGAGTTTGGACACTGCCTTGAACTCGGCGCTCAGCTCGATGCCCTCGTTTACAGCCAAGCTGATGAAAAGCCAGCAGCAGGCGCAGAGCGAGGGAGGCTGCAGCAGTTCGTGGAGTGTGGGCACCGTCCTTGGTAAGCAACGGGCGCCTCTGGCTCGCCTTTGGGAGCGAGAGAGGAGAGGAGAACTGGGACAGGGTTAACAGGGAGGGTTGCGCTGCCACTCAGCATCTTTCTATGCCTCTTTGGACCCCAAAATATTATATATTCAATATAAAAATACTATATTGTCTCCCAGCAAGCTTTACTTAGCAATCCTTGACTACTGCTTTTGTATCTCAGCTGTTTTAATGGTTTAGTCTCCCAGTGAGGCAAATTAGACCTTGTTGACCCCCAGAAAGTGAGGTGTGTTGTCCACGTCCACAGTCAGAGCAGACTTCAGCATGAGTCCTACGATTTGCCTGCGTTGTTGGCTGTTGCTTGTCTGCGCTGCCCAAGGACGATCCTGGATGCGTTGCGCTGAGATGTAGTGCTCAGCCCAGCCTGCACCAGGTTAGTTCAGACTGAGAGCTCGCCCCGCATCGGGGCTTTGGCTGTTCCCAGAGCTCTACGGTTTGGGCTGAGTGGCTTAAATGTTGCCCGTTAGCTGCACAGAGCAAGCTGGGGAGTTGTGACGTGGATGGAGAATTGAGTCTTGTGCAGAGATGCAGCTGGAGAGGTGTAAATCTAGCAAATACTGTGTAGCATGCTGACCCCTAACAGGAACAGGTAACAATCACAGAATCACAGAATGGTCAGGGTTGGAAGGGACCTCTGGAGATCATCTAGTCCAACCGCCCCACCAGAGCAGGGTCACCTACAACAGGTTGCACAGGACAGCGTCCAGGAGGGTTTTGAATGTCTCCAGAGTGGGAGCCTCCACCCCCTCTCTGGGCAGCCTGTTCCAGTGTGCTGCCACCCTCAAAGTAAAGAAGTTCCTTCTCATGTTAAGATGGAACTTCCTATGTTCAAGCTTGTGCCCATTACCTCTTGTCCTATCACTGGGCACCACTGAAAAAAGACTTCCCATCCAACTCGCGCCCTCCCTTTAAGTATTTGTAAGCATTAATAAGATCCCCCCTCAGTCTTCTTTTCTCTAAACTAAAGAGACCCAAATCCCTCAGCCTCTCCTCATATGAGAGATGTTCCAATCCCCTAATCATCTTCATAGCCCTTTGCTGGACCCTCTCCAGCAGATCCCTGTCCTTCTTGAACTGGGGAGCCCAGAACTGGACGCAGTACTCCAGATGGGGCCTCACCAGGGCAGAATAGAGGGGGAGGATGACCTCCCTCGACCTGCTGGCCACACTCTTCTTGATGCACCCCAGGATGCCATTCGCCTTCTTGGCCACCAGGGCACATTGCTGGCTCATGGTCATCCTGTTGTCCACCAGGACTCCCAGGTCCCTTTCCACAGAGCTGCTCTCCAGGAGGTCAGCCCCCAACCTGTACTGATGCATGGGGTTATTCCTCCCCAGATGCAGTACCCTACACTTACCCTTGTTGAATTTCATCAGGTTTCTCTCTGCCCAACTCTCCAGCCTGTCCAGGTCACGCTGTAAGGCAGCACAGCCTTCTGGTGTGTCAGCCACTCCTCCCAGTTTTGTGTCATCAGCAAACTTGCTGATGGTACACTCTATCCCTTCATCCAGATCATTGATGAATATATTGAACAGGACCGGACCCAGTACTGACCCCTGAGGGACACCACTCGTTACTGAGTGATCACGACGTCACAGGCCGACCAGCCAAGTGTGTGCGCAGAATCCCATCAGGTTTGGTTACATATAGGCCAGCCTGTTGAGTCCTCGCAGTTTTCATCCCACCTGCTAGCTAGACATGCTAATCCATCTGTGTATGCTTGCCCAAAATTATTTCTTCAGGGTGCAGGGAAGCGTTGAACCTTCTTATGTCCCTCCACAGATGCCCTAACTGGTGGTTTGCTCCTCTTCTTCCCCTGAATGAGGATCTCCTGCTTGTGGCAGAGGAGGGGGTTTGGAGGGACCAAGTGACCCTGAGAACAGGCCGGGGCTGTGCAGCTCCCAGTGGCTCTCTCTCTCTGAATAGCTTCTGCTGTTTCGCAATGACATTAAGCTATTAAGCTTTTTCCTGTCCCCTTTAAAATTGCTGCTGTTTAAGAGTTGACTGAGTAGCCCTTGATAGGTAGTGTGTGACAGGAATGCGAAGTGGTACCTAAAGCATTTCACTTGGGAATCGGCGATTTTAATTCATTGGGAAAGCAGAAGGGAGGCCGATTTAGCCTCAGTAAAAGTGAAAAGCCCGTTGTAGTCATCTGTCCTCAATTAAAAGCCTGATGGTGCAAACGCTGACGTGATCCAACCCCTCCTGAGCACAGCCTGCCCCAGAAGCCAGACCGTTCCCTTCCCTTATGGTAGTGATAAAGGAGAAGGGACATGAGCCATGGGTGCCTACAGCTGTGCCGTACAGCCGTGTGAAGCGGGGCCCTCGGCTCATAGGCAGGATTGGGCACGTAAAGGGTGGCACAACGTGGTCTCGTCACCCTGCCCTTGACCCAGCTGCTTCTCCTCTCACCTTTGCAGAGCACGGCAAGAGCAGCCAGACGCAAGGATGTGCTTCCTGCGGCAAAACCTTCTCCTCTTATTTCAAAACGGAGCCCGTTTACCAGCTTCCCTGCGGCCACCTCATGTGTCGCCCGTGCTTGGCCGAGAAGCAGAAGTCTCTGTCGTCGGTACTGTGCGGGAGTTGTAAAAGGTCAGCTGCCACGCACGACGTCAGGAGGGTTCACTTCTGAGCCCTCGGCGGCTGGAGCACGCCGGGAGGACGAGAACAAGGAGCCGCTGCTGTTCCCAGTGTCTGTATCGATCCGTAGGAAGACAAAGGCCTTTGGAGAGCTTGCCAGATGAGCACCCGTAATGGCAGAGAGGACTTGGTCTTCTTGTGCTTACAGAGTAGTGGGGGGTGGGGGGTTAGAGCATCACGCCAGAGCAAAGCGATCTGAGGATAATAAAAGCCATAGCTTCTTTAACAAGGAATATGTATTTATACAGAACTGATTTCCACCTGTCGCACCCGCCCTCTTACCACCATCCCAGTGGCTCAGTGGTTTAGCATAGGTGCCTTTTGGACCGTGAGTTTAGCTTCCCTGTGAGTTAAAACCATTTACATATTTGACGAGCAGCCATTCGGTCGTGGACCAGGTGAAGTCCTTGTGATTGACAACTTGCAAGCTACCTGACTTCTCCCCTTCCCCGCCTCACTCCCCTCCTCCCTGCGGCGCCCTCGCTGTGCTGCAGGAGCACATCCATCGTTCATCCTGGAGTCCAGCAAGTCACGACGAGAGGTCGTGGTTAATGCGTGAGTAACCAGCAGCGATCTCATCCTGCTCATGCGAACTCTTGTAGAAAAGCCATCGCATTACACCAAACGTCCTTCTCGGTTTATGTCGTGTGACTGGACCAGCTCCCGTCTGGCTGATAGACATTTAAGCCTTAATAAAATTATGTTTAAAGTCAGGTTCTCTTTCTGACTCGTAATTGGTCTCATTGTGCGTCTTAATGATTTCGTGGAGTGAATCTCTTTGCGGAGTACTGAATAAATGGGCTGGAAAAAGCTAAGTAAGTCCACACAAAGGATGTGCAGACCCGTGGGCTTTAGGGGAGTTGTCACAGCAGCTGCGTGGACCATCACAGGATTGAGACTCAGATACCTAAACCCGAGGAGGTCTGATCTTCAAAGAGCTGTTCGGAAAAAAGCCAGAAGGAAAATCACTCGGATACGTTCTGTCTCCTGCGTGTCCTGGATGTGTTGAGGCTAAGGTGACAGCAGAGGGTTTTGTCACCTGTATAACCCCCTGCTGTTGCTGCTTAATTGGTAATTTCTTTCCTCAGAGCAGACATTCCTCGCTGATGTTCTGTGCCGGTTTCTCTGGGGTAATGAGCCTCCAGCTGACTCAACTCACCTTTGCATGTAATACTTTTATTCTCTCAAAAGGCACCTACTTGCTGAGCAACCCATAATGTTCACAGTCATGGGAAGTGGTCTCATTGAGCACCTGAAACGCAGCTTTGTATTAGCACTGAACTGATCCTGCTCTTTGTCTGCGTCAGTGGGAGTTTATAATCCATCTCCATTTGGAGCAAAAATAGGAAGTCCCCCGTCTTTAAATACTAAATGGTTAGAAATAGGCCAAAAAAAAAAAATCCTAAAAATCCCATAACTCAGAGGCAGCAAAAATCCTCTTAAATCCTGTGGTGGTGTCACGTTTGCAGTGAACCATCCCGGCATGATTCAATGCTCACACCTCCCCCGCCCCACATCTCTGGGGGGCGATCGCTGCCACAGGAGCTCCCCAGCTGCACAACCATCTCGTTCTCTGGCGCCAACGAAGCCCGGTCGCCTCTGACAAAACCCAAAGCCATCAGCTCAGCCAAGCATCTCTCCTGGCCAAAAGTTTCTCATGATATCTTGGCGGTGGGCAGCGATTCAGGCTGGGAGCTGTCTCACTGGGGTTGAAGGTGAGCTATCTCCTGAGGTTCCCTTTGTTCTCCAGGGAGAGATACGGAGCGAGCGTGGAGCCTGAGGGAGCGGAGGTTGGAAGGGATGGCAGGGGGGCATCTGGTCCATGCCCTGCTCAGAGGAGACCTCATCTCCATGTATATCAGGTTTCTCAGAGCCTTCATCCACCCTATTTCTCCTCCTTCTTAACCCTTGTTTGGCAGAAGTTTCGACCCCTGTGTCCCCTTTTGCTGATACAGGGAGGGAGAAGGGATGAACTTCCCTTTGTGCCCACCTCTCATTGCTTTTGGAGGGACCATGTAACCTCAGCTGGGTGTGAGTCCTGATCACTCCCCTTGCAAACAAGCAGGGCACTGAAACCTCTGTGGGCAGCAGAGACCCTCTCTGCACCCCAAGAAGATGGGTCTGGTGGTGGGTGACACGTAACCAGGACTTCTTGTGGGGGTCTTCTGCCAGGACACAGAGCTGTTACCCTTAAGCTCCCATACAGAATAGGCAGATGCCACAAGCAAATTTATTTCCCAGCACTGAGCCTGTCTTCTCCTCGGGAGGTGGGGAACGGCCTTTGATTGAAGGCCTGAGCAATTTCCTCTAATGCTCTCCTTCAAGCCCTTTTAGGAGGACAAATCCAGCCCTTGTTGGTCAGTGACCTCCCAATGTGACGTCTGCATCCCAGCGGGACAGGTTTGGACGGGCAAGTGATAAAGGCAGTGCCCTGCCAAACCTTGAATTTGGCTGTTCTGCCTTCTTTAAATGAGCATCGAAGCTATTTTTCCATCACGTCATGGGAGCAGAGGACCATCTTTAGCCATGATACGAAAAATGGTGCTGTGCTCAGCCAGGAGGTGCAGGATCCCTCCCCGCTCCCCATCAGCCTCCAGCCCTTATCCCCCCATCAGCTGCAAGTTCACGGTGACCGGCTGAAAGGCTTGTGACAGGTGGGGGGAGAAGCGGTCGCTGCTAAATGCTGCGAAGACAGACCCATTTGAGGAGCATTAGTTCACCCCGGCGGGAGATGGGAGCGCTCCTTTGCCAGCCTGACCTGCTTTCTCTCGCCAGTACAGGAGCAACCTGTTTATTTAAATAAAGTTTCTCCTTCTCTGCTGTGAGCTGCATCCCCCTCCAGCCACGGGCAAAGGCAAAAAAATGCACAAATTGGTGAAAATCTAGTTTTCCACGTGGTACCCAATGTCCTCTAATTTATTCTGATTAAACTTTGTTGCTTGGGCCTCTGCATCGGGCAGCACGGGCTGCGGCAGAGCACCACGACCTCCATCCTCTCTCCTGCCTCTGAGGGGGCTCTTAGCAACCTCGGTGGAGGGTTCAGAGCTAACGAAGTGCCTTCTGTTAATGAAGAATGGGGGGAATATACTTGTGGTTTACCCTGACCATGTGCAAGGGTGTGATCGCTCAAGGATTGGAAAAAAATCATAATTTCTGTGCAGCAATGATGCTTTAAAGCTATGGGTGTAGCCAGAGGGTGTTTTACGTGCAAAACGGAGCAGGACCATTGCAGGTCACAGCTGGACATCTTTTTTTCCACCATCCAGGTTATTCCCTGACGTGAAAAATGATTGAGGATGGCACAAGCAGCGAAGCTCCGTGGCTGAGCCTCCCCAGCAGCCCCCAGCCCCTTTGCTGATGTCTAGGAAATGCTGGGGCTGTATTTGGGCTGAGCAGGAGGGCTGGAGGGGTGGGTTTGAGGATGCTGCCCACTCCCCACCCTGTGGCAGGCCTTTGGGGCTTTCCTCCACGAGCTTGAGGCAAGCTGGGTTATAGATAGCAGGCAGCTAACGCCGCTGATTAATGCCGCGGTGCCCGCATCCCTCGCCTCGCATGTCGTTAGGAGATCAGCACTAACAAAGGGGGCTCCTCTGGGGCCCCGGGAAGAGCCTGGGGAAGAGCAGGGACGTGGCAGAGCAAATCCGGTGCTGGGGACGCAGAGAAGGGACCCCATGGCAGATGTTGGGGGATCTGGAGCAAGGATTCGAGTAGCCCCAAAGCATCGAGCAGAAGCTGGATGGGGGTTAGGGGACCCAGCATCACCCCAGGGCTGTAGCCGGGTACCAGTGAGCATCACTGCCCAGCAAGGATGCTCCCAGCTGGATCTGCCAGCCCCATGAAACCCCATCATCCTGAGATTACTTCCCCCATGACTCACCCCAGGTGACCCCAACATTTTCATCCCCCAAACCCCTTTTTTATGCTTTCTACACATTTTTTTGCCTCCCCCTTGCCTTTTCCTTCCCACCTCATCCTCCCCTTGATTCCCGTAAGTGATTCTGCGTTGCGGCTGCGGAGCCTCTGCAACTTGGAAAAACATTTTATTAACCTTCCTTGACTTTAAAGAGCATAATTACATTTTAATCTCATATTCCCGCGTTATCATTCCAGACACAGAGTCATTTGAATGCAGATCATTCGCGGCTAATGTAATTTTACGATACAGTAATGAAGAGATGGAGCATGAGCGTGTAACACCCAATTTAGAGCTGACATTTGGGTTTCTTTTAAAGAAAAGTTTTCCCAGCCGAGGGCTTTTGCGTTCTCCTCAGTCCTACAACGCAAGTGGGTTTTGGCTCCTGCTGGGAAGGGATGGGTTTGAATGGGGAAACGTGGCCGATGCTAATAATATTGGTCATTAAAGCTGCCCACGGCTGACCCACGTGGGTGATTCAGAGTCTCTGGTGGTGGGCACGGGGCAAATTTGGGAACTTGCGGCTCCCTTGGTCCCAGGGAGACCTGAGTCAGGGGCTGCAGTTACCTTCACCCCTCTTGAAGGGGGAATCACCCTCATTTTACCCATCAAAAAGCCCAGGAGCCCCCCAAAACCCAGGACTGTCACCCCCCCAGGCTGATGCATCCCTCCAAAATCACAGGGCAGGAGACAGGTGTGGGCTGGGACCCCCAGCATGGGAAGCATCGCCCCAAAATGGGTGCTTGCCCTTACCCCTGCGTGCCTCAGTTTCCCCCAGCATGGCAAGGTGTTACTCTCGGTTTCATCCCCTTCCAACAACCCTCACTGGTGGCTCTGAAGCCCAGCACAGCATTTGCTTTGCTTTTAAGAGCATTTTGATTTTGCCAGGGTGGAGTCCAGCAGGACCGCGGCTCCCCCAAGGGATGCCTGAGCAGAGCAGCAGCCCCTTTCCCACCCAGGGTACCACCAACCCCCCTCGCTCCAACCAGGGCTGAGCCAGCGCGGGTCGCTGATCCAGCAGAAAAGGGATGCTAATGAGGGTCAGAAAATGAGGGACGCTAATGAGGGTGGGGGAAAGC